CCCCTGCAAGGCAGCATGCAGCAGCGCCCGTGCACAGCCGGCTGCCCGGCCCGCAGGCTCACAGACGGAGCCTTCCTTTCCCCTTCGCAGTGACTCGTCTCGCTCTGTGCCGTGCACCATACACCCTACGAGCATGAACATTGCGACCAGGGACCAGGTTCAGAGCTGAGGCTGGATAAGTCTGAGCAAAGGCGTGCAGACATCTGAGAGATAAACTACTGCGTATAGCCAGAATGCTTGTAAGGAGGTGCTTGCTATACTCAGCACGGTATTACAACAGTACATGCATTTCTTTGCAGCAGTTACCAAGACACATAGAAAAATCAGAGTAATATTACATTACTAGAGACCTGGTGTGCTAGAATTTCTGGGCAATTACTATCAATGGAACTAAATATTCTAGGATTATACGTCCCAATTATTTTTGAAAATAGGGCTTGCATGAACTGAGTTTCTGGCATCCCGCCTTTAGTCTTCGCTGCTCGGTTTCCCGTGATGTTGTCAAACACTGACATGCAACAACCTAACAAACCAGACTAAACATAAAGGTGCCCCTAATTAGCATCTGCAGTTTCACTAGGTATAAAACACCTGCAGGATAACTTCCTCTTTTCCATAGACAATTTAATTTACAGTCACTCCAAACATGCCCTCTGCAGCCCTCCAGGATGCCATTTTGCAACGTGCAAGTACAATTAAAGACAATGCATGGCACAGAGATGAATCGCATCGCCCCTGAACCACTGCCATCGTAGGTGACCATTACGTTAATGAGTCCCCTGGAGGGGCATGATAAGGGCTGTTACAGATAAGCTTCCTGTTCTCATGCTTTACAGATGGAAAGATATATATATATGTATATGTATATATATATACATATATACACACACTATTGCCTCTGAAGAGGAAATAACAAATATTAAAGCTAGATAAAGATGCCCAACCAACATGAGATGGAAACACAGAGTCGTAAGGAAGAATGAGATTGTACCTAGAAACATGAACAGTGAGAGATTAAACAGGTTAAAAAAAAAAACCAGGATAGTTGACGCTACAAAGTTAAATGAAGAATTATATCAGAACTGAGCTCCACATAAAGTCCTGGTTTTGTCTCTGAACAACGAATGCACATACGTGAGACTGAACGTTAGTGAATACATGGTGTATGCATGTGGCTGCACACATCGCACCGATACGACTTCAGCAGAGATGTCAAGAAACAAACATCTGCAAACACAAAAATGCCAGTTTCACAGAATCAGCCTGCAAAACAACGGAGAAGATTAGAGTAAGGGTATGCCCTGATTTGAACCAGCTAAAAGCACATGCTGGGTCTCAGTGAAACACAGGGAAAATACCGAAAGCAAGAGAAAACGTTTCAACAGCAGAGGCAAACCGCTGAAGCAAAACGTTCGTTAAGGCAAAGAGGGCCCATGTTATGAAGAAAGGCAAAAAACGAAGGAAGTAACTTTGGAAACGTGGACTTACCAAGGAGGCGTCTGCTCCCCGGCGCTTGCCTGGCCACCGTCCTGGGCTGGCGCGCGCAGCTGACAGCAGCAGCGACCTGGCTGCCCGTTTCTATGGCGCTGCCGATGCCGGTCCCTGCCTGAGCAGGAGCTGCCGCAGCTGCACGGCCGCCAGCTCCCCGCGCTGCTTCAGCGACCGATCAGCCAGCAGCTATCGGCCAGATCCAAACTTGCGTCTCTGCAGAGAAGGACTTAACAAGCCCCCTAAACACACACGCTCCAAGGAGTGTTTTATTTACTGGGACCATCACAGAGCACAGATAGTGCTAGCGCTCAATACATAAGCACTGATGCGTGTTCGTAGACAGGCTATATAATGCATTTATCCGGGCCATATAATGCATTATGCCTCTAGTTTTGTGCATTTAATCTTAATTTGATAATAGTTGTGGAAGCCTCCCTTCCAACAGCAAGGTTTGAACCTGACACCTTCAGGACCAAAGCACAAACCTGTCTCACTTGAGCTAGAGAGCTGTCCCGCTGCAAGCTGGCGAGGGCCGTTTCACAGCAGCATTACTCGGTGCCAGGAGAGATCCTTGCCCCAAGGGCCTTGCTACGCCTCACATGCTTGGCCACTGGAAACACACGCTCCAGTGATTAATATTAGTTTTGCCTGGATAGCTCCAAACATGTTTACTGTTACGGAACCATATTCCCGTAAAATGCACTTTAACGGTGATTCAGAGAAGAGTGTTATTACAGACATTTTGTTAACTCAAGGTTCATCCATATTTCATAACTAGAGGCTGGAGATATTTCTTATCAGTGAATGGGTATGTCATCAATTTTCCCACTACTCAAACTATCAGGGAATAATTCTTCCATGAAAAATATTTCAGAAGCAATTTCGCTATGTAAACCAGTTTCCCTCCCTTCAGCATTCCTGCAGTAAAACCCATATTGCACAAAAAAACGCACCTCTATCTCTGCCTGCAGCAGAAACACTCATGAACATGTGGTTTTAGCTTTTTATTAGTCTTTGCGAAGCGCCAGGAGGGTGCTCAGTGCTGCACACGCTGTACTGCCGTTTGGGGAGGAATAGTTCACGCCGAGGGCAGAACACTGACTGCTAAAGCATCTGCAGGGCGAGAGCACCGGCGGGCAGCTGGCAAAGCGTGCCGGGAAACTGAAACCCTATCGAAGGCTCTTCTGGTTTTGCATCTTCCCCGGCTGTCCTTCGCCTTCCTCTCCTTCAGCCTGGTACCCCGTGCCAGGAAAGCCCGAGATCAGGGCCCGGGGAAGGGCTTGGGAGGTGCAGGCGCCGCGCCGAGGCCACCGGGACGGCTGCGCGCAGGGCCTCACCGCGGCGGTCGGGTGGAGACGCCAGCA